CTAACGCACTAGGTAACTTCTGAATAATCAAAGAAAAAAATGACTTATACCTCTTGAGTTTTTAAAATTATAATGCATTTTTATTCTCTGAAAATTTATAATCCATATATTATAATACATATGACTTTCCATCAACCTGAATATTAAATTAAACTTCCCAGTTCTTATTTTACCAACACACAGACCCACACATATGCACATGCACACACTCCACACTCACGCTCATGCCACACCCATATGGGTCACTTTTCTCTTTTCCATGGTTGAGACTAACTTCATCTAAAAATAAATAAATAAAAAGACAAAGAAGAATGAGACGATTTATAGCATCTTAATAGACCAAGGGCTTTTGATCAAATCTCTAAAGTTCTAAAGTAGAGAAATTTACATTTGCTCTCCTCATTCACAAGATCATATTTAAATAATGCATAATAGAAGAAGAGTTTTAAAGACCTCCAGAAGAAAAAGACATGTTATATTTATGTAAATAACTAACACTGTTAATAAAACATCAAGAGAATTCATTAAATCCTTCATCACTAACAGTGCTGTTATTAATAGCAAAACAGTTTGAGCCTGACCTTAGAAGCCTGTAAGTCTTTGCCCTCTCACTTGTTAATCCCTTTCAGTCTGACTTGCTCTTCTGAAACTGCTCTCTCCAAGGCTGCTAATGATTTCCTCACCACCAGGACCAATGATATCTGCTAATCTCTCATCCTTTTAAACTTCCTAGACCACCCCCTCCTTGAAATTCTCTCCTCCCTCAGGTTCTATAACACTCATGTTTCCTTTCATTTCCTTCTAGCTCTGGTTCTTCCATGTTCCTTCTTCTTTCTTAAACGTAGGCTTTCTCTTAGCTTTTTAGTCTGTCCAGAAAAAGAACAGGCATCTTTGTTAATTTATTTAAGCTTAATCTTCTCTCAACAGTCTCGCCCTTGGTAATGTCATCCAAATTTACCCTCGATCCACCATTACTTATTTGTAAGTACTTCCTGAATTTGTGGTCTTCACTTCCAACTGCATATAAGATATCAGCATTTGAATGTTCCACCAGCATTTCACATTCACTTGTCTAAAATTAACTCATTATCTTCCTTACCAAACAAGCTCCTTCTTTTTTAACTTTTGCTGCCCCTGGTTAATGGATTTTCCTACCTCCCAGTTATCTACTCTCCAAAACTTGAGTCAATTCTCACTCTTCAATTTCGGTTGCTTCCCTTAGCTAATCACTTAATTAAAAAAAAATGGCTTCTATCTCCTTTTGCCAATCACATCTATTCCTTTGTTTCTGTTTATTTCACCCCCTCCACTTTTACCAGTTCAAGCTTTCCCTACATTGATGCAACTACCTGTATACTGATCCTCTCTCTTGATTTTTCCTTTTCTGCAAGATCTAGCACAGTGATTCCTACACAGTAACCTCAACAAATGTTTGTTAAATGAATTAAATAAAGGAACAAGTTTTAAAGTTTTCCAAGAGAAGGAAAATGTCAACATAAATGTCTGAAAAGGTAAATAGCTAATTTTTTTAAAAGCTTGAAGCTTGGATCTTAAATTGAGAAGAAAAGTCTTAGAGATACTAGCTTCAAAATTAAAAATATATAAATGGAACCTGTTCTGTTACAGAATAAAAAGAAAAATCTGACAAGTGAACCTTTTAGCATTTTGGAAAGGAACATGGCATATACTTAATCTTCTTAAAACTTACTAAAATTCTGAAGAAATCCTACTGTTTGGGGTGTTCACAATTATGGTTATTCCAAATTCCCAAGGCATAATTTTTTAAATCCAATGGCAGTTTTTTAGGTCTAGTATATTGTTTCACCATTCTGTTCCTCAAGCACATGGAGTACAAAGCCCTAGAAACTTTCAGTTACTTAGATGTCACTGTGAAAAAAAGTCACTTTTGTCACAGACTATGAGGTGACATTTCTGTTGGTCACTTGGTCTAGGTTAGTGAACTTTTAAAAATAATCTATTGGAATATGTTTCTATGCAAAGTCCCTGATGAGGGCCGTTCTTACCAAGATCGCTTCCAGAAATTTTATAGAAGTTTCTTTCTCATATATATAGCTTTAGATTTTGGTAAGGATTGGGACTATCAAAGACACGTGTTTTTAAAGGTTTAATGAAAAGTGGGAGAGATAGTAGTTTAAACAATCACAAAAATCTTTTCTTAGAATATTTATCCTAGCCCATTATTCTTTATAATTTGTGAAGGACTGTTTACTTCCTGACACATTTTCACATAATGAATAGAACAAAAATACTGCATTTATCCATCATGAGACTGTACATCATCTGGCAAAAATCTGAAATGTCCAATTAATTTTGAAAAGAAGCTAATTGCTGCTTTAAATTTAAAAATTGTATATATTTATTATAAGAACCAAATTAAGAAAATTACATCAGTCTTCCTAATCCACTAATCAATATAGTAAATGTAATATGCCAAGAACTTAAAAACCTTTAGACTCCGAACTTCAAAGTTTTAGAATACTTCAGACCCACAGTATAAAATATTTTGTTGTTTGTCTCTTTACTCTTAACCTGACAGTCAATTTTTCTATGTTTGGAGACATAAGGAATCAAAAGAAGTTATCTATGATCAATAAAGTTATGACCTGAACAATTTGAAGCAATAATTTTACATTTGAGAACTTATAGGTGATATGAAGATTTTGTCAGCTATTAAATATATTTTCTTAAATCTCTGTTGACGGAAGATGTAGGCTTCAATGTTTTTTCCAGTAGAGTTAATGAACTATATGGAAAATATCTCATTAATTTCTTAAGCCCCCTTGTGAGGCAAGAAAATGACATTCTCATCTAACAGCTGGAAAAACTGAACTAGTGGGTATAACTGCACTCAATTGCAAAGGAAAATAATAGCCTAATATACCCTGAGTTGTAGATATGAAAGAATGTTGCATACAAATATCCTCTCTCTTATTTTTAAAGAATCAATACCTGCTTCTTAAAGTTTAAGGATAAACTCTTGGATCTTGGCCCTGTACCTTTTGGCAGAGTAAATTATTGCATCATGAACAAGCTGTGCAGTCACCTTCTTAATTTACTTTTAAATAGCTTTTCTGTAATCCATATAATCTAAGATTAGGCCAATCAGGAATCTTCAGCAAACTTAAGTCACTTATTCTATAGATTTTTTTAACTGTAAAAATTCAGGAAATAACTCTTTGCTAAGTACATTGGGACACTAATTGGGAAGTAAAAAGGAACAAATTGAACTGATTTGTGGTTCCACAAAAGTAAATTTGATGTTTCACTCACAAGTTGCAAACCATCATATATTTTTGAGCACTTCTGAATCTATTTGTTTAGTAAAAATGTGGAATATTTCACTAGAATGGAAATGCCTTCAAGTTACTTCCAGTACTGCTGTAGAATTGATTTTTCTAGGTTCACAGAATGCCAAAGTTAGGTTTTATATATACTTTATACATATATACATATATATCTTTTAATCATTATCTATTTTTTTTAACTGGGTTTAGGACATCCCAAAACCAATCAGTGAAATATAACATCATTTGTAACATCATTTCAGTATTACCAACATAGGGCTTTGTGTAATGACTGTGACATCATGACAGTGAAGTATTCATTTTTAAGCTTTAAACAGAGAAGGCTTTACCTCGGTATGTCCAATAGAAATACAATATGTAAATTAACCCATATTATCTGTATGCTGATTGGCTTGAGTTCCTCCGAATGTCACAATCTCACCACCCAGCAATGAGGTATTTTACTGCTGTCTGGAGATCAAATTATTGCTGTAGAGAAGTAGAGAAGATCTTTATTTTTTTGTTTCATTAACAGATTATTATAAAGCAATAAGCATGCAGGAAGAGAAGTAGACGTTTTACACTGGGAATTAATGAAAGCATGTCTGCTTGTTTTTTGCCAAGTGGGGGATTGTTGTCGTTTAACATCTTATACCACCCCCACAAACAAAATTCTTCCGAAATGGTTAAATAAGGAAATGCATGATTCCAGAGCCATCCCTAAGTGCCCAAATGTCAGGCTTCGTGGTGTCTTGTAATATCATCGGACCTTTTGGACGGGTGTAAGTTTTATGAATTCGTTATATTCCCAGTATTTTTCTTCCATAATAACAAAGGGGGGGGAAGGAAACTCACACATACACATAATCGCTGTGACATTACCAATCTATGGGTCAGCCGTACTTGCAAGAAAGAGAAAGAAAAGCTGTTGCTCAGTGGGGTGAAATGCAAGGCATAGTTGTTTAAAATTTGTGTAAGCCTGATTCTTTAGTCATATTCGTTAAGGGAGAATGGAAGTAAATCATTTTGCAGTTGTCCTCTGAACTTAGCTTCTCCCTACTTAACCTGTATCTGCGTGCACTGGAGAACAGAAGATGACTAACAAAGACAGGGCTGCTCTAACCTGCTTTCCCTTCTCCACTGACAAGATTCTTCCTGACTGCGCTTTTTCCTTTTTTAAAAAATTTCTTTTCTTTCTTTCTCCCTCCTCCCTCCCCTCCTCCTCCACCCCCCCCCCCAAGCTACCAGCTAACCTGCAAATGCAAAAGTCTGCTGGAGAAATCATTAAAGAAGAAATCGAAAAGAAGCTTCCAATGCTTTGGACCACCCTAAAAGAGCATGGAAGAAATTGTTTGGGGAAAGCGAGCGTTCCAGGAAGCTGAAGAGGGGGAGGGCACCCGGGCAAGGTGGCTTCTCCGTGCGCTGCCCTAAGGGAAAAGGATGGGCCTGAGGTCCTGGACGAGCCTTTCCAAACCCCCTACTTCCAATGCAGGGAGAGAAAAGTTAAGAAGCAGCCACAAGGGGACAAAAGCCCAATTTTGCCAGTTCTACAGGACAGGATATTCAATAAACCCAGCCAGCTCTGGAAACGGGTCGGTGCTCCTGTTGGCTCCACAGAGGCTGAAGTAGCCCCTGCCGCCGCCCTCGCCGCCACCGCCGCCGCCGCCGCCGCGGCCCCTGCGTTACTGGGGGAGACGGTGCCGCTGCGACAGGGGAGGACGCGGCTGGAGCTCAAGGAGGCTCCAGCGCGCAGGCGCCGCCGAGCCCTGCCTGGATGCTCAGTCAAGGCACTAAGGCAAAAAAAAAATCAGCAATTTATAGAAAGAAGAAGCTATAGTCTGTCGGGATATCCAACACCAACAGGTAGGAGGATATACTCTCTGCTAAGTTTGGGGGGGAGGGGGCGCACAGTGTTGGTGAAACTGCAGGTTCACCGGGAGAGAACGCTCCTTGAGTTTTGTGTTTTTTTTTGACAATAAACTGCATAATGGAAGTACATTCAGACAATGCATCTTCAGTAGGGCTTATTGAGAGCTCCATTTCTGGAAAGCGTTGCAAGACTGAGGAATATCAGACTGCGAATCACCGGGAACAGTTCCCTTGCAGCAGAGAAGCAATCTCTCTCCCCATCTTCGCGTATGTAATGCATGTCTCTCCCCCTCCCCCTCCTCCACCCCCCATTATAAATCCAGGGGTGGCGGATTTCAGGTTTCGTAATGTTGCATGATGCGATCGGTATTTACCAGGGGATGTACCGGTGGGGAAATTAAAATCATCGAACGCAGTTTTGCCTGGGCTTCCATCAGCATATTGTCGGCAAGTGAGAAGTGGCAAAGGAAACACGCTTCGTGGGAATAACAGAGGAAGCCTATTTCCCTGGTGGGGCTCCCAGGCACCTAGGAGACAACGTGCATTTTGTTTTAAAATGAAGCCACTTGCGATTTTGCAACAAAGATTATCAGTGTAAATGGGAAAAGCTTAATTGCCCAAGAAATACAGGTTCATGTTAAATTCATTTGAATCCAGGCAGCCAAGGTTTACAAATGGAAGTGCATTATTCCTCTGGGTGTTTCCCTGACCAATATTTACATTAACCATGTTTAATAATCATGTGGGCTTAAAAGAGAAAGGATCTGCCAAAAATGGGGGTGGGGGGGTGGGGAGCGAAAAGACAAAAGATTAAATCACATCAAATCCTGGGACAAGTTCCTATTAATTTCGAAGTCTAATGTTGAAATTATGCTTTAAGATGAATCAACAAATATTCCTCTTATATTATGCAGCATGAACAGGGGCATCTGAATTAAAGACATATATTTTGCAAGGGTTCTTCGGATCCATATCAGCAGAGAAGCTGCCAGGAAAACACTGACAGATACTAACAGACCTCACATAAATGTGGGTAGTCTCCCCTCTGTCTCCTATTAGCAGTCTTGTAGATTCCATTGCAACACTAGTGCATAATTCTTGGACTGGCATATTTTACAACTGGGGAACATTTTATTCCTTCTCTCCTAAAGGTACCCAATCAAATGTATGTTCTTTTAAATAGGGACATTTTAAAATTCATCTAGCTCAGAAAAACAAGCCAGTTCTCCGAAATCTCAAGCAAAAATACTAAAGCAAATAATATTATTCAAAATTAAAACTTTATTATCTTCCTCATAACTGAACAGCTTTATGTTAGCACTGCCTGACATCATTGCTCGTTAACTTAAGAAATGATAGCTCTTTTTTTTTCCCCCAGATATTCTGATGGCAAATCAAATGGAAGAAAAGAGGAAGCATGACTGCAGATCGGATCTGTTCTCTTTGTGGATTACATTTTCAGTAAAATGTATGGATCTATCTTTTCCTTGTTCTTATATCTAGATCATGAGACTTGACTGAGGCTGTTTCTTTATCCTCCATCCATCTATGGCGAACTATAGCCATGCAGCTGACAACATTTTGCAAAATCTCTCTCCTCTAACAGCCTTTCTGAAACTGACTTCCTTGGGTTTCATAATAGGAGTCAGCGTGGTGGGCAACCTTCTGATCTCCATTTTGCTAGTGAAAGATAAGACCTTGCATAGAGCACCTTACTACTTCCTGTTGGATCTTTGCTGTTCAGATATCCTCAGATCTGCAATTTGTTTCCCATTTGTATTCAACTCTGTCAAAAATGGCTCTACCTGGACTTATGGGACTCTGACTTGCAAAGTGATTGCCTTTCTGGGGGTTTTGTCCTGTTTCCACACTGCTTTCATGCTCTTCTGCATCAGTGTCACCAGGTACTTAGCTATCGCCCATCATCGCTTCTATACAAAGAGGCTGACCTTTTGGACGTGTCTGGCTGTGATTTGCATGGTGTGGACTCTGTCTGTGGCCATGGCGTTCCCCCCAGTTTTAGATGTGGGCACTTACTCGTTCATTAGGGAAGAAGATCAATGTACCTTCCAACACCGCTCCTTCAGGGCTAATGATTCCTTAGGATTTATGCTGCTCCTTGCTCTCATTCTCTTAGCCACACAGCTTGTCTACCTCAAGCTGATATTTTTTGTCCACGACCGAAGGAAAATGAAGCCAGTCCAGTTTGTAGCAGCAGTCAGCCAAAACTGGACCTTTCATGGCCCCGGAGCCAGTGGCCAGGCAGCTGCCAACTGGCTAGCAGGATTTGGAAGGGGTCCCACACCACCCACCTTGCTGGGCATCAGGCAAAATGCAAACACCACGGGCAGAAGAAGGCTATTGGTCTTAGACGAGTTCAAAATGGAGAAAAGAATCAGCAGAATGTTCTATATAATGACTTTTCTCTTCCTAACCTTGTGGGGCCCCTACCTGGTGGCCTGTTACTGGAGAGTTTTTGCAAGAGGGCCTGTAGTACCAGGGGGATTTCTAACAGCCGCTGTCTGGATGAGTTTTGCCCAAGCAGGAATCAATCCTTTTGTCTGCATTTTCTCCAACAGGGAGCTGAGGCGCTGTTTCAGCACAACCCTTCTTTACTGCAGAAAATCCAGGTTACCAAGGGAACCTTACTGTGTTATATGAAGGAGCATCTGTAAATCTTTAGCCTTGTGAAACACTAACCTTCTCTGCTAAGCAATTGTGGCCTGTAGCCATTTCTTGAGAAGAAAATCAAGAATGGGATCAGCAGTTATAAGGATTTGGGCAACATTCTGCAGTCTTTGCAATAGTTCACCTATAATCCTATTTCAAATCTCAGAGTGATCCTGCTGACTGCCGGCGAAGGTTTGTTATTAAGAAAGGACTGAACCACTGCCCTAAGTTCTTTATGTGGTTGAAAACTAGATAATGAAAGTAGCAGGTGCTAAGTATCAGTGCTAAATGCTGTGTATATCACTACTTATGAAAAAAATCAAAAAAAAGATTAGCATTGGACATCTTAATAAATTAAGTTGACATGAGGTAAATGTGTTGATAAAAACTAATTTTAGAAGTTTGAAGACTTTAAAACATTTCATACTATTATTGTTTTGCAAGGACTAAAATATTTGGAGACTTAAAGTACTGTAATTCACTAAAGACATGCCATGAATTATTGGATTATCACACTTTTGAAAAATCGCCTTGTAAGTTTTGGGGAGCATTCCAAAGCAGTATATTGGTTCCAATTAGAGTTTACTTTTTTGTATTAATACATTGCTATTTCTAAATACCACTTTCCTTACCTATTAGTGAACTTGCTAGCATCAAACTGTATAATGTGATTTTTGTTGATTTGGTATAAAGTTTTTCCAATTCATCTATATTTTATGATTACTAGATATTGGTCTGGGAGGCAACATTAATGGTACCAACCAGTCACAATTGAGCACTTCTAATAATGCAGAATAAACACATGTTGCCTTAAAGGGTTATCTAGTATCATTCATCTTATTTAGCATTGGAGCAAGTTGGAGTCAAGAGAAATTGAATCAGTAACTGGTCATGGTCATGCATCTGGAAGTGCATGGACGATCATTTAATATTCTTTTTCTTTTTTCCTCACATGGTTTAAAAATTAAGGTGCACATCACTGGGATAATGAGATTTTCTTCTGAGGTGTGCTACCCATTCTAGTGTGTTCTAAGAAGCAGGCAGTTGATGTGTGTTTATATTTTAAGTCAGCTGTCAAGGGGAGACCACAGCCTTAGTATGACACCCTGCACAATTTGTGAAGCATTTATTCTACTGAAGGCACAGTCTTGTTTATACTTTCTGCACATTCAGTGTATTGGTTGTTTAAATTATTTCAGTTTTAACTTGTGAAAGCTTATAATATGATTTCTGGTATTTTAGAAATACATTAGAGTCTGTGAGTCTCATTCTTTAAGATACAGATGTGTGAATTTCAATATAAAGTTGCATTTGCCAAAATTTACTCGTGTAGCCTGTTACTTTTCTTGGAATAAATTTTACATTTTTGGCACTTAATTGGTTTTTTTTTTTTTAACCTGGGAGACAAGCACAAACTAGGAAGATTAGCTTTACTATGGTTTTGTTTTTCTATTTATTTTTATAGCTACTATATTCTGGAACTGGAAATGCGTGAATGAAAGGGAACATAAAGCTGATAAACTGACAAACAGTATTATCTGCAAAAGCATTATTTGGTAGCTTATCATACTTATTCCTCTATTTATTCTTACAAGCCAGTAATATTTAGAGATGTATACCTGCTTAGTTCGTTGGTTCAGAAGTTTAACATAAATATCACATTTTAGTTTGGGGCATAGTAGAAATTTTGGATTCTAAATATATATATTGTAAAAAGGAATGGTTTACAATTATGTTATGACAAACCAGAAAAGTTGTTATTGTTTTTGTTTGCTAGGTTTTTTTTGTTTTGGGGTTTTTTTTGGGTTTTTTTTGGTACTTGAAAAATAAAATTAGGAATCTAGTGGAATAGAATTCTTTATTGCTACAGTGCTTCTGTAAGGAAAGTATCAATATAAATATAAGCAAGGAAAAATGAATCACTGAAACGTCTCAATGATATATTCAACTGTTCAGTTTTGCTCACATAAGGACAGCTCAAGCTGTGATTTAGTAAGGACTCTGTTTGAACTCATTTTTACTTTATACTGAAGTTGACTGGATCTGAGACAAAGTTTAATGTACAACAGTGAGTTGAATCTAGCAATAAAGGCCCCTTGTTGGTGCTAAAATCACTACCTAAAATACAATAAAGGAAATGTTATCAAAAGATATTCTAATAACATCATGTTTCTAGCTGAAAAAAATTTTCCGTAGAGACATAATTACCACAATTGTATTTATAAAGAACTTTGCTTAGAGGTTCAGATATCACTAGCAATCAGTAGAAAATTTGGCAATGATCCTGAGGCCAGAGAACCAGGTTTTATCAACACTAGCCTCCATTATACAGACAAAAATCTAAGGCATGGATTAAGAGTAGGAGATTAAGGAGTTAAGAGCAACATCTAAGTGAGATTGCCTGATTCCACTGTGTGAGTTGGAATAACACATTCCAACAGCCTTGATAAGTGATTAGGCCCAATGAAAAGTGAATAATGCTGAACTGTGGTGACTTTCATTTAAGCTTCCTCTTGACTAACTTGACATTTCAGGTCAAGGGGCAAGCAATGGGTGAGATACATCCCCAGTTAATCAATGCCATTTGTAAGTCAATGGCTATGGTAGTAATCATATAAAATAAAAGTCTGCTTCAGTTTCTTAATGACCAAATCACATGATTTATTTTGGCACCCATTCCAATATTCAATATTTAAAAACAGTGGGTAACTAATTCACTTTGAAAGTGTTACTAATCTTCAACCCGTAAAAATATATTCCCACTGAGGAGTCTAACTTCCCTGTGAGAAGACTCCATTATCAATAATAATGTGTCCCTCTTGGACTAATTATATCTGAACTAAACAGGCTTTAAATTGTTTTCCTTAATAGTGGTAGTATGTTTGCATGGATGTGTCTATACTATTTCATCTGGTTCCTTCTGCGTATAGTGGATTTATTTGTGAGATGCCTGTCTGGAACTAGGTATTCAGTCTGTGACTGTGGAATCCTATTATGCAGATATTAACTGAGGCAGAAGGAGGTGAGTAACTTGCTCAGTTTCCCACAGAGGCTCCATTTAAATAATACAAAATTAACCATAGTAATTAGATTTAAAAATTATTTGCAGGACAACATACTGACTGAATTATCTTCTTCAAATGTTAGCTGGTTGTATTTCAGCACCGGCATTTTCCATAAAGGTTAACTGATTATCTTTGTTAACACATGGGTATGGCCCCTTATCCATTTGCCTCTATGTCCATGAATGCTAACTGAATTGCTTATTCATTTATTCATTCCTAACAAATACGTGCTGGGCACTGGACTTGGTGCTGAGAGCACAGTGAAAAACAAGAAAAAACAGAATTAAATATGTAGTAGCAACAAGTTACAAGTGTTACAACAGTAAGTATTTCTAAGATGGACGTGGTATTAATGACCATAAATAGACTGTTCTCCATTTTCCCTATCTTTCCTCAGTATTCCCTGGGATCTTTTATATATCATACTTCTTCAGTTCAGAGGGAATTCCCCCATTCTGCTCACCTTTTATTTAGATGAATCATCAGCTTGTGTTTAAAGCCCTGAGCTCTCATGTTATTAGTGCTATATACAAAATAACAGCAAAACTTGACCGTTAAAGTCCCCCAATGTCCTGACTGTCCACTTACACGTGAGAGACATTTCAATTCCTTCAAAAGACAAGGGGTGTCCTTTCTTCCAGACTCATACCTTCCTGCAAATTAGCATGAGAATGCCTGAGCAAAGTGCAATTAAAGGAAGGCACTAAGATGCCAGTTCCCAGTGAAACAGGGTGCATCTTTTTTATTATGAAATCATGCCACTCCTTCAAAGTTTTTATTATGCTTAATGAAGATGTGACAAAACTCGCTAACTAACTCCACCATCAATTGTAAACTTTGTTTAGCCTCCAAAATTTGCTTCTATTGCAAGTACAATGAAATGTATTTATAATCATAGAGATATATCCTTTTCAGCTAAGGCATGTAATAGTGAGTTGTGCTGCAACAGGCATTACTGTAGGACAGTTGCAAACAGACACCAAAACTCTTCACTTTTGTGTTTCACCATTAGATAGATTTACTTTGTTCCATTCTTTACTCCACATGTACTGTAGACTGTACTGTTATTAAACTAAAGCAAAGCAAAGCAAAACAAAAACCTCAGCTTATATTAAATACATGTTAAGAAGAAAATAAAGAAGATAAGATGATAAATAGTAATGTTTCAAATACTGGCTAAACACATTAACCAAAGTAGATTGTTACCAGAATTATGGGTTATTTATGATTCTAAAATCTTGAGTTTGTCTTTCTATGCAAAAATGCATTACTTTCACGTTTGTTAATATTCTCTGATGAATGTTTTGAACGGAAATTGCAAGGTCTCCTAACTGTTGCTGACATTATTGTTGTTCTCAATTCTAGGCATGCGAATATTCTGTGACTTTCCTAATTCCCAGAAACTTTCTTTTTTACACCATATTAAAATGATAGAATTCCTCAATTTTGAGGCACAAGTTCATAATTAGTCTACATAGTGGTTAAAATGAAGGTAGCATTTGGAAATGACTGGATTATTTTTTGCCATCTGTCAAAACAGTCAAATAATTTTGCCATCAGTCAATACAGGGCTATTGACAACTGGGGCATTGAAGGAAAGATTGTTTTGGCTAACTTATTTTGCCTTTTACTGCAATGTAACAGGCTCTAAAATTTCTATTTAAACCAGGAGGCTTTAACTTTATAAAAGGATTATATAAATAAGACCTTGTGTTTAAAATAGAGAAGGAGTTTTTATATCACCTCCTTTTGCCAAGGGGATGATGTCCATTAGCTGCTCAAACCCTTTAGATTAAAAGGCTTTTAAAGCCAGTTTTCCTCCCAGTAGATTAAGCAGTTAATACAAGGGCTGGAGCCCTGAAAGGTCCTGGAGGAAAGTAAAAAGAGTGTGTTTCCCACTGAGTGATTGTGGAAAAAGGTCTCAGAGGAGTCAGAGATGGTTTGGGGTTTGGAATTACTCACACCTGAGTAGCACCTCCCTTCCTGGGCCCTTCTGGTGCCACAGGACATCATCCTCCTTAGAAAGACATAGGTTCTCAAGCTTAGCTTAGAGGCAGAAAATAGTTCTTTTTTTTTCTCTGCGTGTTTAGAAATTTATAGATTCTTGACATATATGTTAAAATGGACACTGTAATGCATGTCCTAGATTATGGGGTTTTGAATAGACAATAAAATAACATTTAACTTATATAGCTACTCAAGATCATGGAGTGAGGAAGTAAGTCATTTACTGTATCATGGGGAAAAGTTATTATAATACTAAAAGAAACTTTAAAACCAAATTGATAATTAAGCTTCAGCTAGCTAAAGTTAATTAGTTGTTTCTTTTCATAGCTTTAAGAAAGCAAAAAAATCAAATTAGATGAAAGAGGAATTTGTTCTTTCCTCCTCCATCTGAAAAGATGTTGAACTGAGAGAGTTCATTTTCTCCAGGGGAAAAAAAAGGAGTTCTTAAAATCATTTTTAGTAAGCATTTTTACCTAGATATAATTCAGTACAACAATCATTCATCAGGATGAGGGTATAGCCTGGTGGTAGACTGCATGCTTAGCATGCATGTGGTCTTGGGTTCAATCCTCAGTACATCCATTAAAAAATTTTTTTTAAGGAGTTTAAAAAAAAAGCAATCATTTATTGTGTGCCTACTGTATATATGATCTTGGGCAACCTTTCTATGACTCCTCAATAAAAAAGAACAACAGAAAATACGTCCTGGGGATATTGAGAGGATTCAATCCTCTCCCTGTGAAGCCCTTAGAAGAGAGTCTGGCATCTTAAATAAATTTTACTTTTACTGGTTCTCTCATAGTTCACCATCTAGCATCAGAGACACGAACAAATTATGAGACAATGTGATAAGTGCTGTAAGGGAGACATGTGAGGTAAGTGTAAAAGAAACACAGACAAGGAATTAACTCTGTGAAAATGGGAGAAGTAAGGTGAGATAGAAAAGGTGGCAGCTGAACTCAGTCTTGAAGGATAATTTTAATTTCATCTCCTTGACAAAGTTAGGAAAGGCATTTCAGAGAAAGGAAATAATAAAATGAGCAAACTGTAGAGAGATTGAAAGCTCATGGTGTACTCAACATAAAGATCCACTACGAATCAGAGAAGTTTAGTGTGGTACAGCTGGGGCTTCTGTGCCTGGAAGGGAAGGACCAACATGGCACAGGGGTTACAGTGCACAAGACTTGGAAGTGTAAGTCCTTATTCTAGCCCTAACTTGCTTTATGACCTTGAAAAACTTCATTCAACTCTTTGAGTCTCAGTTTGCTCATCTGTAAACGGAGAAGTAAACAGTAGCAACCACTATTTTTGAGGACTTACTTGGAAGGTTAAATGAGATAATAACTAAGTACTTACTATGAGCAAAAGACTGTTCTTATATGGGTAAGCTCACAATACTACTTATTGTGATTATAGTATTATTGTGAAATATATATATATATATATATATATATATATATATATCTCCATACTCTGCAAATAAAGAAACTGAAGCACAGAGATGTAACTCGCACAAGGTAATTATAGGCAAAAGATGGTTATAAAACACTCAGGACAGCACCCAGCCCAGAATGAGCATTCAGTAAGTATTGGCTACTGTGGCTGCTGTTACTTTTGCTGTTGTTCATTTTGATAAAATAACTGAAGAAGGTGAGAGACCAATGGGAGCTAAATTGACTGAGCAGAACAGAGCCCCAGCCTTCAGGCTTTGGCTCCACCTTGCTGTTCTCCGTTTTTTCCCACTGAAGGAAGCAGAGAACAGTAGTCAGCTGCCTAGCGGCCATCTCCACTTTCACATAGGATCATATTGCCACAGAAATAGGAGAATCCACCTGATCTCTCACAGGACTGTTTAGAAGGACATTA